AAACTGTATCTATCCAACAAGACCAGGATATAATCAAAGAACCAAAAGGAGCTCTTAAAAATTAAAAGGTTTATGGTCAACATTCAACATTGGACAGGTGTGGCAGAGAATGCCACCATATCTCATTCATCTAATTCATCCTGAAGTGTGCAATGTGTCATGACCACTAAGAAAGAGAAATCCATCAATTGAACCCTGATTTTATTTGGCAATTTACTCAACTAAGAGTACATTTCCCTGGCTCCTTGTTAGCTAGGCGCAACACACAGCTAATTAAGTGTTGTGAGGACTTCCAGGAAGGCTCCTGGAAGGGAACTAAGCGGGCTTCCTCCCTCCTGATGCCTGGAATATGGGTGTGACGGCTGGACTCCAGCAGCCACCACCGTGAGGACAGAGGCCAGGCACTGAGGACACAGGGAGCGGTCAGCTCCTGGTGATTTAGGGAAGTGCTGGACCTGCCCTGGGCAGCCTACCTCCAAACTTACTTTACCTGAAAGAAAAACAAATTATTTATTTATGCCACTGTTACTTTGGGTTTTATGTAATATGCACTTAGATATACTCTTAACTAATTCAGAAGAATTAGAAGAAAGGGTTAAGGAAATCTTTAAGAAAATGAATTTGAAAATAAAGAAGTGATAAAAATCATAGAGGATAAGTCCAGGAGATCCAACATCAGATTAATAGGAGTGCCTGGAAAAGAACAGAAAGAAAAAGAGGGAAAGAAATTGTCACAGAAATAATACAAGTTTATTATACAATAATAATACAATAATGAAATTTCCAAAATTAAGAGATGCTAACCTCATGATTAAAAGTGTCTAACAAGTGTCAGGCTCAAAAATAGGAAGCAAAATAACACAAAAGCTCATCAATGTAAAATGTAAGAACATAAGGGATATGCCCTGGCCAGTGTGGCTCAGTTGGTTAGAGCATCATCCCATGCACTGAAAGGTTGCCAGTTGGATTCCGGGTCAGTGCACATCCCCAGGTTGCAGGTTCGATCTCTAGTCAGGGTGCATGTTTCTCCCTTCTCCCCCCCACCCCCGCCCTCTCTCTCTATAAAATATCAATAAAAATATATTAAAAAAAATAAACAAAAACATAAGGGATAGAGAAGAAATGCAAAACTTCTAGAGACCAAAAAAAAGACACCCCACAAGTTACACAACAAAGGACAGCAGACTACACACTGTTAGAGGACAATGGAACAATGCATTAAAAAATTATTCTTTTTTGTTGTTGTTAATCCTCACCCAAGGATATTTTTTTCCATTGATTTTTAGAGAGTGGAAGGGAGGGAGGAAGGAAGGAGATGGAGAGAGAGAGAGAGAAACATCAACGTGAGAGACAGACATTGATTTAGGTTGCCTCCCGAATGCTCCCTGACCAGGGCCTGGGATCAAACCTGCAACCCAGGTACATGCCCTTGACCAGGAATCGCACCCATGACCCTCTGGTGCACAGGTAGATGCTATAATCACTGAGCTATCGGCTAAGGCCAAAAAATGATTCTTGAAAATCATTTCTAGTGAAAATGATTTATGATTTAGATTCTATACCCAATCTATCAATCAAGTACGAAACTGACGTTTTAAACAAAGACTTAGAAAATGTACCTATCACGCTACCTTTCCTTAGGAAGGTACTAGAGAATGTGTCCCAGCAAATGAGGAGGACACCTAAACAGAGAGAAATGAGCCCTAGGAAACTGCAGATCTAGGAATGCTTCAGTAAAAAAGGTATCAAGCCCAGTAGGCATGACTCAGTGGTTGAGCGTCGACCTATGAACCATGAAGTCAGGGTTCGATTCCCGATCAGAGCACATACCTAGGTTGATGGCTCGATCCCCAGTATAGGGTACAGGAGGTAGCCAATCAATGATTCTCTCTCATCATTGATGTTTCTATCTCTCTCTCCCTCTCCCTTCCTCTCTGAAATCAATAAAAATATTTGAAAAAAATTTTTATATGGTAGTTATAATGGAACAATATGTAACATTTTAATAATAGGTTCATTTAAAAATATGGAAGTGAGCCCTGACTGGTTTGGCTTAGTGGTTAGAATGTCAGTCCAGAGGGTTGAGAGTTCAATTCCCGGTCAAGGGCATGTACCTAGGTTGCAGGTTCCTCAGCTCCGGTAGGGGCAAGTGCTGGAGGCAAACAATCGATGTGTCTCTCTCATGTTAACACATCTCTCCCTCTCCCCCTCTTCCCTCCCTTTCACTCTCTCTCTAGAAATCAATGGAAAAAATATCCTCGGGTGAGGATTTAAAAAAATTTGAAAATATGCAAGTGAGAAAGCCATTGATTTGTAGGAAAAAAACAAAAAGCTGTACTAGAAATAAAATTAATCACAATATATTTCTTGGCTTTGACTAAATTGTGTAACTTATTAGATATAATACGGGGATGATGACGTCCTGGCCTAGTAATTCAGTTGGTTGGAGCATGGTGATGATAGGCCAAGACTGTGGGTTCGATCCCCGGTCAGGGCACATAATAATGAATACTATATAATAAAAGCATAATATGCAAATCGAGTGAACGGCAGAATGACCAGTCAGCGGGGGCGGGGCCAGTGAGCAGGCAGCACCAGGCCAGCCAAGGATCGTGCCAGAGGGCAGAGGGAGGGAACGGCAAGGGGGGGCGGTGACCAGCGGCAGCAGAGGGGCGATGGCGGGGGGTGGCCAGCAACCTCCCCTGATTGGCCAGCCCGGTCGCCTCCCACAGAGAGAGGCCAGACTGCGGCTTAGGCCCGCTCCCCGCCTAAGCCATCAGTAGGACATCCCCTGAGGACTCCTGGACTGTGAGAGGGCGCAGGCTGGGCTGAGGGGACCCCCCACCCCCGCCACCCAGTGCATGACTTTTTGTGCACCGGGCCTCTAGTATATAAATAAGTGGAACAGCAAATTGATGTTTCTCTTTCTCTCTGTCTCTGTCTCTCCCTCCCTCCCTTCCCCTCTCTCAGCTACTTTTTTTCTGACATAAGAATAAATATCTTGGTTGTGACATCCAGGTATGTCAGTATAAGCTTATTATTTAGAATTAAGGAGATAAAGCCAGAATAAACAGTGAACATTTACAGCAACTGCCTCTGGGGATTGGGATTGGGGAGAAGTGGGACAAGAATTGTTGCATTTCATTGTAAGCCTCTTGGTATTAAACAATATAACATGAACATGCATTAATTTAAAAGTAAGGTAAAAGTAAAATAAATGATTACCTGTTTTTCATCCCAGGATAGATTAAAACCCAAACTTCTGATGATCAGGGCCTCCCAGGATCTAACACCTTTGCAGTTTCATTTCTGTTATCCCCTCATACATCTGTACCTAGGACTTTCCCTCCAGAGCCCACTTCCTTATGCCTTCCCCAGGCTGCAATAGCCTTTCCCCATCCCTGCCTAATAGATCTTCCCACCCTAAAGGCTCAGGTCCACCTGCCTTCCTGCTCCCGGAGCAAGCTGTCTCGCAGAGTGCAAAAGCTAAGCACCTGAAAGATCAGGGCCGTGGGTCTCAGTTCCAGCACCTGCCTCTCTGGAGAGAGCCAGCCCCAAGGGTTTGTTGTGAATGAAAGCTAGACTAGGAGTCCAGCCAGGGCCCGGTAAGCCACCTAGAAATGTATACTGTATAAAATTTAGTGTGCATAAGCCTATTTCTGTGAAAAGTAAAGCTTTCAGATAATCAAAGTGTTCTGGGACCTTATAAAGGATACGAAACCTTGAGCTGTCTCTGGGTGTTAACAAGGGTGCTAGGCAGAGGAATGTGGGAGGAGCCGCTCAGGCCTTGTGTCAGTGCCCTGAAACTATTCAAAGGCTCCAATCACAAACCAGAGGATTTCCTGCACTTCCTCACTGCTGGCTTAGTTTGCACTTGTCTGACTCTTCCCTGCATCCCTTTTCTTTTTTTAAAAAAAATATATTTTTATTGATTTCAGAGCGGGAGGGAGAGGAAGAAACATCAACGATGAGGGAGAATCATTAATCGGCTGCCTCCTGCACACCCCACACTGGGGACCAAGCCCACAACCCGAGCATGTGCCCTGACCAGGAATCAAACTGTGACCTCCTGGTTCATAGGTCGATGCTCAACCACTGAGCCATGCCAGCTGGGCTCTACATCCCTTTTCTGTGTGTACTGGGCCCCTCAGAAGCAAGCTCTAGAGCAGGTATTAATTATGCCTCCTAGTCTTGAAGAAGATGGTTTGAAAGGATGGAACTCTACCCACATAACATCTGTCCAGGGGCGAGCGGAAGTGAGCAGCAGGGACCAAGTCCACAGGCTGAACTGTTTGTAAAGTTAGGTGAGTGTTTCTTCTGGGGTGACCTTTCCTAGCCCTACAGCCTTCTTCTCTAAGCCCTGTCCTTGGAGATGAGCTTTTAGGGACCAACTGCTCTGCTCCAGGCCCTACAACCAACTCAGAACTTGCCATTCAAAGCAGGTGACTAGGGGGTTCACGTTGGCTCTTCACCTACCCCTCAGTATCTCCTGCAAGTCTTCCAGTACTATATCCTTCTAAAGGCTGTTCTTGTGCCAGGCGTGGATGCCATTGCCATGGCTTAGCAAAGGACCTCGTGCCGTGGCTGGTTTGGTTCAGTGGATGGAGCGTCAGCCTGCGGACTGAAGGATCCCAGGTTCGATTCCAGTCAAGGGCACATGCCCGGGTTGCAGGCTCCATCCCCAGTAGGGGGCATGCATGAGGTGGCCGAATGATGATTCTCTCTCATCACTGATGTTGCTATCTCTCTCTCCCTCTCCCTTCCTCTCTGAAATCAATAAAAGTGTATTTAAAAAAAGAAAAGGGCCTCGTACTAGCCCAGCTCTCCAGCCCCACTGGCCCAACTCCCAGGCTCAGCCATCGATGCTCGCTCCTCCCCTTCTCACTGGCCCTGTGCTCCTCAAGTTTCCACCACGACAGGAACACCAGATGCCACTCTCCCTCTTTTCTCCTCTTTCATCAACGTGCTGGGGGTAGGGTGGAAGTCTATCGAGGGCTTACCCAGAACTTCACGAGAAAAAAGGCATTGGAAGGTCCCCGTTCAAAGAGCTCCTTGAGTCCACCCTTTTTCTCTGGGAACTTGTCATAGATCTGGCGGATGTCCACGGCTTCAAGGTAGGGGTCACTGTAGCTTGGGCTTGACTGGCCAATGTGTACGAACAGGTGCTTGTTGTACTGTGGAGAGAACAGCCGGTCTGAGGGAGAGGCAGGGGTAGCAGGGCAGACAAAACGGACCAGAGCTCAGATCCCAGCCATGTGACCGGGAGTGAGTAATCTCACCTCTCTGGACTGCAGTTTCCCCACTGGTAAAATGGAGACAAAGGACTGACTATAAAGCAAAATTAATGGTATACAGCATCTGGTGGGGTGTCTGGCACCCAGTAGGTGCTCAATAAATTGTAGCTATTATTTGCATTATTTGTAGTCCTGCCTCTGCCATGAACTGTCTTTAGGCAAGTCTTTTTCTATCTTTGGGCCTCTGTTATTTCACAGAGATCAGACCACTGACTTAGAGATGTTTTCAAATTGTGTTCCACTCGTGGAGACAGGGCTGGGTGCCTCTGTTGCTACAACCAAATGAAATCTACTTTTGTTGCACACAGTGGTCTTCTGAGTAGGAGCTTGTTTGACTAATGAGTCCCTCAGCTAAAAGACAAGTTGGGAATGTCAAAGTGAGAGGGCCACAAAGTCCCTGTTGGCCCAGCCTCCTCCACGTGCTACTCTGACTTTTGCAGGTGACACTGATCCCCTAGGAACAAGCCGCTGAAGGGGGATGTGGGTCAGAGCCATAGGGAAAGGATGGGACAGCCTGGGCGTGAGGCTGGGATGAGCAGTTCACTGGGAGGAAAGAGAACATGGAGGGAAGAATAGAGGTCAGGGAGGGAGCAGGAAAGGGAGAGGACCTGAGAGAATGGACATGGAGCAAAGAAACCGTGGTGGGGGATTTGGGATGGGAGCAATAGCTACACAGGGAGAGAGGGAAGGTGAAGTGAGGAAAGAAGAGGGAGGTGGCTTGAGGAAGGAAAGGAAAAGGGGAAGAGGTTCAAGGGAAGGAAAGGCTGCAAAGAAATGAGGAACCTAAATTCAAGCCCATAGCTGAGCGGGGCAGGATTGGGCTAGGAAGCCAGAAGCAGGTGATACAAGAGCTGGAGAAGGTGGGGGAGCTCCAGGGTGAAAGAGCAGCCAGACAGGGACCAGGACCTACCGTGTCAGGGTCTTGCTGCTGCTCCAGGAAGGCAGAGAACTCCAGCATCCAGAGCTTGGAGCTGGCCACGCTGCGGCCCTGCCACGGGGGTGCTGGGGGCGCTGAGGGCGATGGGGCGGCTCCTGAAGGAGACTCAAACCCTGCAGGCAGTGGGAGAGGCACATGTGAGCCTGTTCACACACGCCCTCCCTGCCGACAGCCTCTGTGAGGACCCCAGGCCCACCGGTGAGACCATGCTAGCAAGGGAATCACCAATCTCCCCTCAATGGGCTCTGACAGGGGTGGTGGAGGGCTCAGCCTGCCTGGTACAACTCAATCCCCCTTGCCACACACTCCAGAGAGATTGCATGCCTGCTGGACCGAAAGGGCTTCCAGGGCAGGCTCTGCTGGGTTCTCGCCCTCAAGGAGCTTCTGGTCCAGCGGAGCTATCAGACCATCATTAACCACAATGACGTAGCCCTGCGAGAAGAGAACGTCTCCTGTGGGATTCCCTGCTGTCGCTCCAGCACCGAGCAGTGCCTGGCCCAGGATAGGCACTGTGATACAGGTCTGCAGTAAAGGAAGTCATGAATGGGATTACAATTGACAAGGTATACACTCAGCACCAAAGAGGAGCTCCTAGTCCAACTTGGGGTGGTTGGAAAAGGTTTTTCCAAACGCGACGCTTGAAAGAAGTTATGATGTAGAAGTAGACGGCAATTAGTGAAGCCAGGGAAAGGGCGTTCCGGGCAGAGGACACAGCAGAGGCAAAGGTCTGGGGGCTGTGAGATGCTCCATGAGTTTGGAAACTCAAGTCTGTGGTAGAACTGCAGAGAAGGATGGGTTTGTACCAGGGGCAGGAACAAGGCTGAAGAGATGGGCTGGGCGAAGAAGTGTGAATTTTAGCCTAAGGGTTTGGGAAAGGGACAGGATTTTACATGAGCAGGGCAGGGAAATGCTCGGATCTGCATTTCTGAAAGACCCTATTCCCGTTTGGAGGAGGACTGGCAGGGCGGGCAAGGCAGACAGAAGCACAGTCCTGCGGGGTCTAAACTAAGTGCAGTGGAGGGAAGAGGAGGGCACAGACGGACTTGAAGCAAGGACAAGCCCAGGCCTTGGAGACTGACGGACGAGAGAGCAACGAGGCTGCCCAGAAGGCACTAGTGTTCCTTCCAGGCTGGGAGTCAGAGGAAGGGAGGCCCCATGTGCTGAGGTCCAAGGAGGGAGATGGAGAAGAAATGGTAATCAGAGGGGTGGCTGGAAGGCCGAGCTGGACAGACACATTAGCCTGTGCTTAAAGCATCAGCTGAGTCATTCATTCATTTGTTCAAGCATGCTTCCCGAGGAACTGCTGAGTGCCGGCAGGACAGGATACTGGAGGAGGTGGACAAATCAGCCACACAGATGACCACAGTCAGATGCTAGGTGGGGGTGCAGAGTGCTCAGGCGCCAACAGCAGGGCGCCTAATCTGGGGTGGGGGGTGGGTGCCTGAGCCACAGCACTGAGGCAGGGAGGGTGGTGGTGGCGGGAGAGGGAAGGAGAGGGGAGAAAGATGAGGTTTAACAGAGGAGCCCTGCAAATCCTACCAGTTCACATTGTATCCTGACGGCACCAGAGCCATTATAGGGTTCCACGCCTAGAAGCAACATGCTGAAATGGGTGCTTTAAAAAGATGACGAGGGGGATTACAGGGTGAAGAGAGGAGACTGGAGACCTGGAGCCAGTTAAGCGGCCACCGCAGTAATCCAGGCAAGATCTAGGAGGCCGGAGCAAGCACAGCGAGGCCAGTGAGGCAAGGACAGGGGAGGGGAGACTGCACAGGGCTGGGAGGACCGCAGGCGGCAGCCCCTAGAGCAGGAAAGGCCAGGCAGAATGTGGGCAGCAGCTACTCCCAAGCCAGAAAAGGTGCTGAGGGCGAGGATCCTGTCTTGCCCTGCCGAGTGGAACATGGTGAGGGACCCTCATGAGAAAGACGCAAGGACAGAGCTGGTCACCTGAGCAGTGCAAGGGGGTGAGCTCCTGTGCTGGCCCAGCTGCTGGACCTGCGCCTGCTCCGGGCCTCTTCCCAGGAAGGGTTCCCTCTGCTAGTAAGGGTTCCCTTTCCAGCTGCCAGGCACCTGGGACCTGGAGGCGGGAGCTGCAGGGGTTCGACAGGTGAGGGAGCTGTTCACTGCAGACCCACCTGGCAGAGGCAGCGAAGGCTGGACAGTGTAGGTTTGTTGAGAGAAAGGTTTCACACTGCGGGAGGGGAGAGAGGAGGTGTAAGCCCTGGGCAGGATGCAGCCCCAGAGCCTCAAGCAGCGTCCATCGCTCTCTGTGTGGCAGGCCTGGTGGCCTGGTCATCAGTGGCCTTGGTGGGCTTTGGCCTCCCACTTCCTCTCCTGCCAGCTCCCTCATGTTTCAGGGTTGATCCACAGAAGCAGCATGTCTACTGAAAAACCCATCCCTCTCTTACCCCTCCCTCCCAGGCCAGCCAGAGCCCTGGTTCCTAGCCTACTTCCCTTGGGGTCCCAACCCCTGGCCCTGCTACCCCATGGACAGACTGGTGTTTTGGCAAAAGCCACCACAGGGTGTCCACAGTGTAGACTGAGCTGCTGTCTGAGAGCAGGAGAGCTGGATCCCCAAGCTCAAGGCCGTAATAAAAGGTAGACCCCAAACTGTAGCCCTGTCCCACCCTGCGGCCCAGGCTCAACCTCTTGAGTTTATGCACTCCAGTTCAGTTCAGGGAGCAGCTGGTAGCAGGCCATACTCACTCGTGGGATGTTCCGGCTTGGCCCGGCAAAGCTCCTTGCCAAAACTGAGGAGGCAAAAAGCATAGAGTCAGCATAGCCCATGTGCACAAGGGCCCTGGTGTAGGGAGACGGTGCTGTGGCCTCAGCTGGAAGGTGAGCTGGAGCCTGGACCAGTGGGTGCAGGGAGAGAGTTACTGCTACTGTCTAGAGCTTGGCTATAGCAGCATCCCAGTGTGTCTCAAGGCACTCTAGTCTCTGGACACGCTCTGCTGACACGGTGCTCCCTGGGAGAAGCACCCAGCTTGGTAAACAGCATCTCGTATTCCTCCATGAGAGAGAGATCCACAGTGCACAGCAGCACGTAAGGCTGTGAACAGTCCTACTGTCAGGAAACCAAGGCAGTTCTAAGTGCCCCAAACTTACTTATGCATAGAATCACTTTGTGTCATATCTATTTAAACATTCTGTGGACTAATGCTCTCTGGAACACCCTCTGAAAAATGATAAACATGAGCTGCACCGAGCCCAGGACAGGGCTGTCACTGCCTCTACGGCGGCTCTTGAAGACCCATTTAGTCCCTACGGCCAAGAAAACCCTGTGAGGACACAGCCCTGGAAAGGAGGAGCCTTTCAGGACCATTCCGAAAGTGTGAGCCACCTGGCCATGGCTGAGAGGCCAGTTCTTAGGCTGAAACATTTAAAATTTGAACAGGAGTTTGTTGATGGACATCAGCCCTGCAGCTGGAAGGAGTGGGGACCCGAGGGCAGAGTGGGCACCAGGCAAAGTGGCAGGGCCACTCAGGGTCACGCTGGTGCTGCACCAGAGCCCCAGCTTCAGCCCCTGTCCCCCAGCTTCAGCTTCCCCTTTTGTCCATTAGGCCAACTCTGTAGAGCTTCTTGGGTGGTCAGCTAATGGGGGCGACTCTGTCCCTTGTGAAAGGTCTGCTGTGTTCCTGCCAATACCCCCAGGAAGGTAGTTCCAATACCAGCTGAGCTGCCACCCAGCATGGCCCGTCGGTCCTTGGTCCCTCCTTCCCCCTGGCTCGCCTGGCCTGATAGGACTCAAGCAGGAGAAATTTGGTCTGGCCAGTGCTCTGGCTCTGCAGAAGGGGGAGGAGCGAGAAGGAGAGGCTGGTTTGGCCTCTGGCTCCAGGCAGCCCCACTTACCCCTGAGACTGCTGGGCAGCCAGGGCCCCGGGCGAGGGCCATTTTACTGTGGAAGGCTGTGGCGGAGATGATCTGGGCGGACGACATAGCAGCCATGCTCTGCAGGGCCTTGTCCTTAGCTGCCTGATCCTGGGGGAAGACAGTGGAGGGGAGGGCCTCAGCAGCGGCGAGGCGAGGCAGGGAGGGCTTATGGTCAGGGAAGCTGTCCCACTCTCCGTGGCCAGAGCCCTGGACTAGGCAGGCCCCAGGGAACAGGCTTATGTCCTTGCAAAGCTATTACTTTGCTTTGTGACTCTGAGCAAGTCACGTGGTTTCTTGGATCAGTTTCTTCATCTGTCAAAGAGGCACAATACTTGCCCTGCCTATTTGACTAGCACTTAAAGAGACTTTGAAGACCAATCCGTTTACAAACCATGGACCTGAGAACAGGGACCTTTTATTTATGTATTTACTTATTTTTCAGACTAAAAAACAACTTTTTATTAAAGTATAGGTGGCATACAATAGTATATTAATTTCAGATGTACAAAATAGTGACTTGACACTTACATACCTTACAATACGATCTCCACACTAAGTCTAGTAACCATCCGCCATGATGCAAAGTTACCATACTATTACTGACTATATTCCTGTGCTGTACATTACATTCCTGTGGTTTATCTATTTTATAACTGGAAGTTTGTGCTACTTATTCGCCTTCACCTTTTCTACCCTCCCTCCTCCCCTCTGGCGACTACAAGTTGAGAATAGGAACCTTTCAGTTCTTGCTCATCCCCACACCACTGGTGGCTGGGGAGGCACCTGGCTTACAGCAGATGATACATAATTCTGTCGGATCCCCCTTGAATGAGCAGGGGGTCGTCCTTGGTCACGTGGGCTGTTTGAAGGCACGGACAGTCTCCTGTGACCCCACCTGTCTCAATCCTGCCCTGTGGGGCCCCCCCAGCATGCCCTGCCCTTTACAGGTCAGGATGTAAACACTGGCTGTATGCCCTCCATGGGCCCAACCTGAAGAATGGACTCACCTGCACAGGCTCTGAACAGATAAGCACTTACGACTCTGCTAATAATACTAACAGTACTAATAATGCTTTTTACCCTCACCTGAGGGTATGCTTATCGGGTACTACCTTGCCTAACCCTGTCATTTACAGATGGGGAGACTGGATGGGGCTCAGGAAGGGGCAGTGATTCCCCTCAGCTCATGCAGCACAAGGCAGAGTCAGGCCAGACCAAGCCTGAAACCCAGAGGGTTTCTACCTGACCTTGCTCTGAAACCCCTTTGAGAATATGATGAAATCCTCAGACCAATCTCCACCTAAGTGTGAAAATCTGCATATTATTTAAGGGGCTCGTGGCTCCCTGATGTCTGCCCAGTGGTTGTCCCTAGGTCCCAAGTGAGAGCCTGTGGACAAGGAGAGGTGCAATTCCTCTAAGCAAATGTGAGCCGCACAGCCAGGCCCCAATGGAACTAAAAGTTCCCCTAAATGACTCTAAACAGAACACTGGAAAGTCTGTTCCCAACTCTGGTCCCCGCCCAGGGTCCCAGTGAGTCAGAGGCAGACCAGAGGGGGAAACAAGGGGCAAGCTGGGCTCCAGGACCCTCAGGGTGGCCTGGAGGGGCATGTGCCAGCCTGAGAGGGAGGCATGAACAGCTGAGGCCCAGCCAGCTGTCCAGGGACAGAGGGGGTGGGGGACAGCTGGGCTGATGGCAGGAGGAAAAAGCTGAGAGGCAGTAGGGTGTGGCTTCCTAGGCGTCCCCACCCACTCATTCAGAACCTCCAGAGTCGGGATCATGAACTACTGGGCCACACAGGACCTTCAAGGTCATGTAGTCCAGGGCTTTTAAACTGGATTCTGAGGTACTTTGGGGTTCAAGAGCCATGGGCATGAGAGGTGAATAGAAAAAGGGAGTCTCTGGCCTCTGGTCTGTTCCTCACCAACCTAGCATTGACCCGAGCAGCTCCTTTAATAACAAATTGGGGTGATATTTGGGGGAAACAAAACCAAAGGGACTTACACTGCTTTACAAAAATTGTTTGTAAACTGCTGGTCTTAGTCTAATGCCCCCAAATGTTATTAGCTCTTCTTACCAAGTGGCTAGAGAGGCTTAACACCTCCATGCAATGCTTCCTCCTAGTATTCACCAAAAGGGCCCCCTGGCCAGGGTCCGAGAGGCCTGAGTCCTGTGGGGAGCAGGGCCGCCCCGAGGGGAATGCTGCCAGCAGCTGGCCCTCCACAGAACAGTCACCTGTCACTCAAGGAGGGGCTGGTCCAGGGAGGGGAAGGAACTGCCAGTCCCAGAGAGCAGGGCGTGGGAAGGAATTCCACCTGCTCCCACAGCAGCATCCCAACCACCCACAGCAATGCCTCCCATGCCTGACCACCCTGCAGGCACCAGCTGATGGCACTAGCCACGGGGCTCTAGGAGGCTTCAAGGAGTGGGGTCTGGAGGGCGTTCTGCTGTGATCTGGTGAGGGCACTGCCCCTGGGGGAAGGGGGCACAGCAGGAGACTGACCTGTGGCCCCAGGATGCTGTGGAGCCTGGCAGTCGCACACATGGCTCTAAGGTCAAGTGTCCCTCCTTGTGTGGATAGGAGAGGTTACAGGCTGAATCCCACTCTCACCAATACCAAGAAGCATGCTGGCTCCACACACAAGCACCAGCCCCTAAACACAAAGGGAAGCCTTTTCCCGCTGGAAAAAGAGCCTCAACTTCCCGACACGGCCCCATCTGTGCCCTAGGCCCTTCCTCCCACAACTGCCATGGGCCTTACCTTTAGCTTGGCCTGGATCTCACGGGCTTTGCGACGAGCCAGCACCTGGATGTGGCTGGAGACCTATGGCAAGAAGAGAAGGCTCCTGACCCTACTTCCCAGACAGCCTAGCTCCCCATCCTGGATCCCAGACCCTCAGCCCTCCATGGGCCTCAATCCACTTCTGTGGACTAAAGGAGTAAATGGATGCATGAATGAATGAAAGGGTCAGTCAATGAGGGGCCTTCAGTCCTCTAATCCACAGTTGGGAAATAAATAAAAGTGCAGTTCCAGTGCTTTGCTTTCTATTCTCTGGTGTCTTGGAGAAGGATGGGGAGGGGGCTGCTGATTCCCCAGAACACGAGGGATGGCAGCAGGGACGACAGGGAAAATGAACTGTCCGTGGGACACCAAAAAGAGACAACCTATCCAAGCTGGTCCCACTGAGAGCCCACACTTAGTCCTGAGGAGGACCTGGCCCACCTTGGGAGCAGGCTGGTGCTGGGGTGCCTGCCCAGGGACCCATACCCATCTCCCAGGGCCCACCTGCTTCCTGGTGCGGGTCTTCCCTGTCCGGAGCTTGATGTAACGAGCAATCAGCTCATTCCGACCTGTGGAGAAACAAAGAGCCATCAGTGGGAGGAGAAGGACAAAAGGCAGGCAAATGAGGTGTCTGAGAGGTCCCTTCTGGCACCCTCTGCCCACCTTGAGTGGGTACCTGGGGTGAGGACTATGCAAATTCCCTCTTGCCATCCTTGGATCCCAGGGATCTCCCAGCAGCAAGAGGAAGCTGAGGCCTTGCTGGTGGGCTGGTCACCTGAGAACAAGGAGGTGCCAGGGCCATGGCCTCCTGCTGGATGCACAGCTTGAGGCGCCCTCTCGGAGCCTCCTCCTTATCACGAGGCCACCTCACCTCTGCCCATGGCAGCCTGACAGCTGCCTCTCTGCTTCCACTTCTCCTGGGCCTTCTGCACATTTGAGAGACTGCAAGGAAGTGCCTGGGCCTTGGCCCTTTCCCTGTGCAACTCCCACAGTTCCTACCAGCTCCATAAATGCACAGGCCCTTACATGATGTCCTGTCTGTGTGAAGCAGGGAGCCTGGGGGAAATAAGTGCTGACACACTGACTATCCCCAGAGGAGATCTAAGGCCAACTCAGATAAACAAACCCAGGCCAACCACACTTCCACTCCATGGTTTTGAGGAGACCTGTCAAAACAGGTCTACATCCTAGAGGCTGATGCTGTATCTGAGAGACCCAGGAAAAATGCCCTGTTATCATAAATGAGATCATGAAAAGGGGTTCCCTGGGTCAAAGAACTCACCACCTAGCTGGGGAGAGACATGGTCTACACAATAGCTCCAGCTCATGCTACAGACAGTCAACATGCAGTGTGCTCTGAGAGCGAGTGGTCAGTTCAGGCTGGGTGGTCAGGTGAGCGTTCAGCTGGACCTTGACCACTGGGAGGATTAGACCATAAAGAAGGGCATTAGGTTGGGGACAGGGAGGGAGAGAGGGTTTGAGCGGCAGCTATCACTTCCTTGCTTCAACTCTGGGGCCAGAAGGCCCAGCCACCAGCCTGCTCTGCCCTGCTGGGCTCGCTGAGCCTGGAGGGCTGTGGCTGAGTAAGGAAGCTGCTGATGCAGGGGGAGAGGCAGGACGAGTGGGCTATCTGCCACCTGGGTTGTAAGAAGAGAGCACAGCCAAGGCCACGCTGGCCCCCCAGCTGACCTTTCCCCACTGCCAAGGCTGAATTAAGAGGCCACCCTCAGGAGGTCTCGTCTGCCAGAAGAACTGGCTGGCCTGGAAGCACCGGTCTGTCTGTGTCAGGGGGAGAGGGGAGGGAAGGACCAGGCCCTGGGGACACCACCCTGTGGGCTGGCTGGTCTGTACCTAAAACCGAGATCCAGCAAGATGTCTCTTCTCAAAGCTTTCCAGGGACAGGAATTCCACAGGCTCCTTGGGCAGTCCAGTGAACGTCCCACCCTATGTCTCACTAGAGCACTCACGCTGCAGTTAAGAAATGTTTTCCTTCACTGGCAAGAGAGCTAAGTCATCCCACTGGGGACTGAAAACGGGTCACAGAACTGGGAGTTGGGAGCCAGGCTCCAGCCCAGCAGCCCCACACATGAGCTATGGGACCTCCACACGTCGGTTTCCTCTATGGACCTTCAACTGCCTTCTCTCTTTAAATCTAGGCCCTTTAAAGGATTTCCCACCAGACTTTCCAACCAAATTTTTAGAGACTTAGGAAACTGACGTTAACGTTGGCTTAACGTTAAACTGAGCTCTCTATAGCTCAGTTCCCTTTTCTGTAAAATGAATGTAAAATGCTTCAGGCCCCTGTAAGCAGTCTAATTCAGAGACCAGTCCAGGGGTAAGGAAAAGAGTGGGGCAAAGAGAAGGTTCCTGAGAGTTGGGAGGTTAGTTGCAGTGCTGAAGGATGTGGTGTTGAGAAGAACAAGCTGGAGTCTTGGGGTTGGTGGGAAGCTGGAGGGATGGGGAAGGCAGGGGACACTAGCTTGGAGACCATCTGGGGTATAGTTCTAGTGCTGCTTCTCTAGCCCACACCTTGTACACAGGGAGCAGCTTATCAATTCTCTATCTTTTCCTGTTAAATTCCCAACACCTCCAAGGAAGGAGCCACATCTCCATTCAGGTCTACGTCTCCAATACCTGGCATGTATTTGTCAAATGGATGAAGAGATGAGTCCACTCGCGAATCAGGAAGGCTCTATCTGAAGATAACTATATCTAGAATCCACCACTCCTTATACCTCACCCTGCCTGGTCCAGGGCCCCCCACTCCTGCCCTCCTGCCCACTTTCTGGCATGGACTGTGATGAAAGCCTTCTACCTGAATGCCCTGATCCCAGTCTATTCTCAACACAGTGGCCAGGGATCCTGAGGCTCAAACACTTTCCAATGGCTTACCATGTCCCACAGATTAAAAGTGTCTAAGCCCCTACAATGTCCTGGAAGCCCCCACACGATGTGTCCACCTGGTTCCCAGCTCAGCCCCTCTCTGATCTCATGCCACCCACCATCGGGTCTCCTCGCTGTTCCTGCAACATGCCAGGCCCACTCCCACCTCAGGGCTTTTGTGCATCCTGTGCTCTGTCCCAGAGACCCACATGTCCTTGATGGCTTCTTTGCTCAGATGCCACTGTCTTGGGGACACCTTCCCTGAAGACCCCACTGAAAGCTGAGACCACCTCCTGCTCACCCTGTATGCTCCAGGTTTCACTTATCTCCATAGCGCCTTCTAACATACCACGTGATCGATATACTCATTTAGAGCACTGTCCACCCCCACTCCCATGGGAGGAAAGCTCCTAGAACAGGGACTTTTGTCTGTTTATTTACTTATTTATACTCTACACCAACCAGGTCAAACTCGCGGCCCAGCCAATATAACAATATATAAGAAACATTTTAATAAAAATTCTGTAACTCGCCCTAACTGGTTTGGCTCAGTGGATAGAGCGTTGGCCTGGGGACTCAAGGGTTCCAGGTTCGATTCCGGTCAAGGGCATGTACCTTGGTTGCGGGCACATACCCAGTAGGGAGTGTGCAGGAGGCAGCTGATCGATGTTTCTCTCTCATTGATGTTTCTAACTCTCTATCCCTCTCCCTTCCTCTCTGTAAAAAATCAATAAAATATATTAAAAAAAATTCCGTAACTTAATTTTTACAATATCCTGTTATACATAATCCTATCTAATAAAGAGGTAATATGCAAATTGACCATCACTCCAACACACAAGATGGCTGCCCCCCATGTGGTCAAAGACTGCCGGCAGGGGAGGGCAGTTGTAGCGATCAGGCCAGCAGAGGAGGGCAGTTGGGGGGAACCGGGCCTGCAGGGGAGGGCATTTAGGGGCAATCGGGCTGGCAGGGGAGCATTTAGGCAGCAATCAGGCTGGCAGGGGAGTGGTTAGGGGGTGATCAGGCAGGTGAGCGGTTGGGAGCCAGCAGTCCTGGATTGGGGTCCCAGATTGGAGAGGGTGCAGGCTGGTCTGAGGGAAACACACACCCCCCGTGCATGAATTTCATGCACTGAGCCTCTAGTTATTAATAACGAACTACAATGTTTGCTCATGACTGATTACTATAATCCTGTTGCATTCATTTCCCTTACGCACAGACACACCATTTCTCTCCACTAATACTAGCAGTGAATATCTTAGCAGCCGATTGCCACGTCATTAGTCTTGTACTGACTTGTTTGGTGTGAGCAACCAGAAATATTTTGCTTTTGGAGAACAAGAAAAATAGGTTTATTTGCATTATGCTTATTAATTTGTGCAGTTATTCAGTGTCTAGTAAGTTAATATTCAAGAAAAAATATTAATTTTTATTAAAATGTTCTATTCTTTTGTTAATGATTACTCATTTATTTCAGCCCTTTGTATTCAGCATGTCTCTATCGAAATAAACCTACGTTTCTATGCAAATTGAAGCTTTTGTTTTTTTGTGGCCCACCTAAACTTAAACTTAAGAATGCTAATGTTGCTAAGTGTGTGAAAGAAACAATGATCACAGGCAGTTGAAGAGGCAGAAAAACTGTTGTTGATTTGGATAAAGGGAAAGCAGTTAGCCAGTGACAGCCATTTCTGAGGCTGTGATATATGAGCAAGCAAAGATGCTGCATGCTGACCTGAAAGGTGCCCCCCCCCGCCCAGGTCCAAGTGCTGAACGTGATTCCTTTAAGGCTAATAGGGGGTGATTCAGTAAATTTAAGAAAAGAAGTGTTTATTTATAGATTAAACAGTACATTACACATATATTGTATATAAGAAAGGCTAAAACAGGGAATCATTTGGGGGTCTGGGACAGATTAATTTACATTATTTCTAACGGGAAAAAATGATTTGGTTTTCAAACAAATCACTTCTCGAACAGCCTTCTGGAATGAATTAAGTTTGAGAGCTGAGATTCCACTGTACTTCTGATTAGCCAGACAGAACTTTCAAAGTGCTTTCTTACTCTGGTCTCAGTTGAGTCTCTCCATACAGGAGCAAATCCAATCTAAAAATTGGAAGGCTCTCTTTGAGAAAAAAGAATTTAAAATACAAATACAAAATTAAGTTAAGATCACTTTAGGTTAAGATGGAGATGTTCACTCTGTTGATGGTGCTGATGGCTTCACAGGTGTATACATCTGTCAAAACTTATCAAACTGTCCACTTTAAATATGTATAGTTTAGTGTACATCGACTATACGTCAATAAAACTACTTTACAAGTTAAAAGTAGTTTAGGGATTTGGAAGAGGCCCAGCAAGCATGAGCCTCATTTAACTTCATAGAAAACCCATCTCCTCCCTACAAAAAGGCACACAATTATACCTGTTTGCCAGAAGAGGAAACAGGTCAGAAAATCTCACCCAGACCACCTACCAGCACGTCTAGGACTGACTGCCTGGGTGTGAGCCCTGGCTCAGCCACTGCAAGTGACACAGAGCCTTGCACAGAGAAGATGCTCAGTGAATGGGAACTCCTGGCCCCCCAGAGGTGTCTCCTCTGCAGCTGAGGCGGCCCATGCCCTTCACAGGGGCTGAGACCCTTCCTCCAGACATCCCAGATGACCCGCCTCCTGTGCAAGGAGCC